GAGGGCGGGGCCGGGGTGGGCGGTCCTGCGGAAGTGAAGGCGGGGCCGGGGCGGGCGGTCCTTTGGAGGTGAGTGCGGGATTGGGGCAGGTGGTCCTGTGAGGGTGAGGACCAGGCTGGGGCAGGGCTGGGGCAGGGCTTGTCCTGCTGAGGTGAGGGCGGGGCCGGAGCAGGTCTGGGGCGTGGCCTGTCTTGCTAGATGAAGGCGGGGCCGGAGCAGGGCTGGGGCGGAGCCTCTCCTGCTGAGGTGAGGGCGGGGCCGGAGCAGGGCTGCGGCAGGGCCTGTCCTGCTGAGTTGAGGGCGGGGTCGGAGCAGGGCGGTCTTGCAGAGGTGAGGGCGGGGCCGGAGCAGGGTGGTCTTGCAGAGGTGAGGGCGGGCCGAGGTGGGGCTTGGGCAGGCCTGTTGTGTGATGGGGCAGGTTCTCGGCCTGGGGTGGCCCTGGGGGCGAAGCCAGTCCTTTGAAGGTGAGGGTGGGGCTGGGGTGGGCTGGGCGGTCAGTAACCCCTTTCACACCTCGACTCCACCAAGCCGTCTTCTCCCTGGGGAAGCCACCGTTCTTCCTAGACACCAGGGTCTGACTGACGTGCCTTTGTTTCCCAAAACCCAAAAAACCAGTTGCTGGCCAGTGGACTTGACCTATGGCAACGCAACGCCACGTGTGTCCGAGTGAACTGTGCGCCACAGGGTTGTCAGTGGCTCATTTTTCAGAAGTAGATCTCTAGGTCTTTCTTCTAAGGTGCCTCGGGTGGACTGGAACCTCTAACCTTTTGGTTTAGCAGCGGGCACGTTAACCGTTTTTGCCACCCAGGGGCTTCTTCTGCTTCCCAAGCTCATATTAAAATGACATGTCAGCAGGAAAACACCTATAAAAAATGCATGCTGAAGATGACTGCTGGCCGACCCCTGGGCCGGGGGCTGATAAAATCCACCTTCCAAGGCGAGAGGGGATTAACGAGCTAATCGAGAGGCCGTGAGGGGTCTGGTTAAGAGCATGAGTTTGGAGGCATAAGAAACAGCACTTACTTAAGTGACTTTGGGGAGTGGCTGACCCCACCTGCCTCAGTGTCCTCCCAGGGTTTACCAGTTGCTGCCAAGTCAACTCCAACTCACGGAGACCTTGTGTGGGTCAGAGTAGAACTGTGTTCCATGGGCTTCTCAATGGCTGGTTTTTCGGAAGTAGATCACCAGGTATTTCTTCCAAGGTGCCTCTGAGTGGACTCAAACTACCAATCTTTTGGTTAGTAGCCATGCACGTTAACTGTTCACACCACCAGGGAGTCCCCTCAGGGATAAACAGGTGGATAGCATCAGCCTCCTCGGGCCGACGGGGCCAGGAAAAGGCAATGGGGTGGCGTGTCCAGCCCAAGGCCTGGTCTGTAGTAGGTACTTAATGGATATCCCGTCTTACCGGGGATTAGGTTCTGTGTTCAGCAGAACTGAGAGCTTTAACTGGCCTCTGGCAGTCCCTCAGGCCACCCACCATTTCTATCCTGGGCAGTGTGGTGGCCAGGCCCAAAACATGGCTGATCCTGAAGTTCTGGACTAAGAAGGAGGCCTTGCTGGTGAGATCACTAACATGAGATGTGCCAGGATGTGCTGCAGTGTGTGGAATTCTCACGCTGAGAGCGGGCACTAGGATGGGTGCCTGGGCCCTAGGCTCCCCAGGATTCTGGAATTTGCCCTCAAGAACTGAACCCACCCTGTGTCTAGTGGGAGGGACAGATTCACACTTGGGGACTCACGGGCCGGGATCCAAATCCCAGCTCAGCTCTTTTCTAGCTCTGTGGTCTTGAAGAGGTAACTCAACACTTCCAGGCCTCAGTGTGCCCATCTCTAAACTGAGGGTAGTGGAACACAATGAGAAGAGCTTATCATGGTGCCGGGCTGCACAGGCTGTGCCAACAATACAGAAGCTGCCATTATCATTGCTGTTACCATCCTTGGCTGGTGCTGTAGCTGGACCCTTGTACATGACCAAAAAGAAGGCATTCTTACCTGTCCTTGTTAGCGAAAACATTGTGGGCACAAAACCAGGGGCCTGGCCAGCCTGGCTGTGTCACTCCAATAAGCATTTGTTAAGTGCCTGCCTTGGCTGTGTAGCAAGAAGAGAGTTCCTGCTTTCGGGAGGTGTTTCTCAACTGTGATGAGAGACAGCATTGGGCAGAGGTGAGCAGGTGGAGGCCAGTCCGGGCATTGGGGGGAGGCTGAAGGAAAGCAGTGCTGGTGAGAGGCTGGCAGATGTTCCTGGCTGCTCACCCCTCCTGTCCTGCTAAGAATGAGCAGGACATAAAAGTGAGAAGGGAGATCTAGGCCAGGGACCAGCGAATTTTTTCTCTAAAAGCCACAAAGTAAGTATTCTAGGCTTCGCTGGTCGCATGTAATCTCTGATGGAATTATTCAGCTTAGCCGTTGTCGTGCAAAAACAGCCATGGACGATGAGTAAATGAATGAGCACGGCTGTGTTGCAATAAAATGTATTTACAAAAACAGGGGGTGGGCCAGATTTGGCCCCTGCATGGGCCGTAGTTTGCCGACCCCTGTTCTAGGCATGGGAATTGATGAGCCTGGCTCAGAGCATTGGAGAATTAGGAGTATTGGTGTACCAGCCAGGTCATGAAGGGCCCCTTCTAGGCATGGGAAGAGGTGAGCCTGGCTCAGAGCATTGGAGAATTAGGAGTACTGGTGTGCCAGCCCGGTCATGAAGGGCCCCCTTGTGTGCTGTCTTCTGCTGAGGACGCTGTGTGGAAGGTGGAGCGGGAAGGATAGGATCTGATTTCTGCTGAGAACCAGAGCTGACCTGGGGATCAGAGGGAGCCCAGACTAGAGGCCGTGACTGTCGTCTTGGTGGGAGATGGCGCTGCTTGAAGTGGGCAGTGGTGGGGATGGAGACATTCCATGCTCACTGGGCATGGGGTCAGGTCACCTCAGGGTCACCTTGGCCAGGTGCCCACCCCTGTACCTCTCCGTGTATGGTGTGTGTTAACCTGAGGGAGATAGAGGGGGCCTTGAGACACAGTTGGGTGGCTTGAATGAACAGAAGTTTATTTCACAGTTATGGAGGCTAGAGGGCCAAATTCAGGGTGCTGGTTCTAGGGGAAGGCTCTCTGTCCACTTTAGGGGAAAATCCTTGTGTCAGCTTCTCTAACGCTGGTGTCCTTGGCGATCTCCATGTGGCGTCTGTCCCTCCCTCATTTGTGTTTGCTTGTCTTTGCTCCTAATCTGCTCCTTTTATATCTCAAATGTGATTAGGACCATCCTGCACAGACATGACCTCATTCAAATAACAAGGCAAACCCTGTTCCCAAATGGGATTGCAGCCACAGGTATAGGGATCAGGATTCCTACACATATTTTGGGAGGACACCACTCAGTCCATAACAGGGGCACCCTGTTCCTGCCCTGCTAGCAGGAGTGTTCGGGGCTGCTGTGGAGGCTGGGATGTGGGCCGTGGCTCTGAGTGGTGACCTTGGGGGACCCCTCTCTTTCAGACGTGAACGAGTGCACCAGCAGCCCCTGTAGCCAGGAGTGCGCCAATGTCTACGGCTCCTACCAGTGTTATTGCCGACGGGGCTACCAGCTCAGTGACGTGGACGGGGTCACCTGTGAAGGTGAGGGTGCCCCCTGAGGGCCGAGGGAATGCTCACCTCTGGGCCTTGCTCTCCACATGGTCTCTCCTCATCTCAGTGTCCGTGGGAAAGCGTTTGCTGGAACTTCTTTGGACTGAGTCCCCTGGGTGGACCCTCTGTTTCCTGCCCTTCTAGGCGAGCAAGTGTTCTGTTTTTTCCCTCCAGCTAAGTTTCTTGGGATATACTGAACCCATTGTTGAGTGGGGTTTGAAAAGAAGCAGCCCACTCCCTGAATTTTTCTCTCATAAACATGTAGCACTGATGGTGCTTAGGTGTGCCTCAGTTTCCCTTCTAACTTGACGGTCTCTGGAGCTCGGATCCCAGGGCTGGGTGGTGATGTGCGACCAAGGGCTGAACATCTCTTTGATGTTCCTCCCCAGACCTGGGGCTCTGTTTCCTTCTCTCGGACATGGGGACTTAACACAGACTCACTGGGTCGTTGGAGGATTAAATCAGATAATAAATAAAAAGCCATTGTAGGTGCTTAAATGGCAGCTATTATGATGATTTGTACTATTTTTTAAAAAATAATTTATTTTTGTTGTTGAAAATGTATACAACAGAACACACACATTCACCAATTTCTGCAAGTGCAGTTCAGGAATGCTGATGACATTCTTCAAGGTGTGCAGCCATTCTCACCCTCCTTTTCTGAGTTATTCCTCCGCCATTAACATGAACTCACTGCCCGCTGAGGTTCTTATCTAACCTTTCAAGTTGCTGTTGTCGTATTTGATGTGGATAGTACTTTAAAAGAGCACAGCGCTCAAAGCAGACATTCTTTTGATTAGTACTATTTTATGTCATGTTTTAGAAGATTTGTGTGTGTGTGTGTGTGTGTGTGTGTGTGTGTGGTAAGAGATATATAACACAGCATTCACCAATTCAACGGTTTTTACATGTACAATTCAGTGACACTGATTACATTAATCTTGTTCTGTGACTGTCACCAAATTTCCTATCACCATTAACAGGTACTCACTGCTCCCTAAGTAATGACTCCCCTCTCCCTCTCCCTTCCACCTCTGCTGACCACTGAGCATTTGCCTACTGTAGATATTTCATATACATGGGGTCATATAATCCAGTGTATGTCCTTTTGTGATTGACTTAAGTGGGTGAGTTTTTTTATCAGCAGATTTACAACAGTTAGCGCTAGGGCGTCTGTACTGTGTGTCATTCTGAAGTCCTTCAGCTTAGCCACTCTGCTCGGCTGCCCCATCCCCCCTCCCTGCGGTCCCCGCCACAAGCACACTTCACACAATGAGCTTGAGTCTGACCCTAGTCTAGTCCTACCCTCTCTGGGCCTCGGTTACCCTTCTGACGCAGTGGTGTCTGACGCCACCCCCCAGCTCCAGCACTTTCAGGCCTCCTGTGTCCAGCTTGCCCTGTGCTGCCCGCCCCACCACTGGCAGGGCCCATGGCCAGGTGCCCGGACACGGGATGATGAGGGTGGGCTTTGCCGTTGCAGACATCGACGAGTGTGCCCTGCCCACCGGGGGCCACATCTGCTCCTACCGCTGCATCAACATCCCCGGAAGCTTCCAGTGCAGCTGCCCCTCCTCCGGCTACAGGCTGGCCCCCAACGGCCGCAATTGCCAGGGTGAGCATGGTGGTACTCGGGTCACTCAGGCCGTGCTTGGGGGCTCTGCAGTGGGGGTGGGGGGTTAAGGCCAGGCCACCCCCAGCTGGGAGTATGCTCCCCTGACCCAGGGGCCACGCCGGTGAGGATGCAGTCAGGGGGGCCCCACCAGCAGACCTGGAGGCCAGGACGGGGCTGACATCCTTTAGGAAGATGCCCGCCAAGGAGGAAGCAGGAGGCTTCACTAGAAATCGGTACCCGGACACCCCCTTCCACAGCCTCTTGCCTGCTCTCCCGGTCATTCCACAAACCCTGGCTGTGGGTCAGGCCCTGGGCCTGGCGTTAAGGGCAAAGCAGTGAGCCAGATAGATGGTGGAGGCTGCTGTCCTGAGGGGCTAACCACATAATCAGGCGAGGGGATGGGTGTGGCCCACAGGTTTGTGAGAACATTGAGCTCGGACCCTGTGTTTATGGGCAGTAACAGCTGTGAGGGTCCGGCCAGGCCGGGGGTCAGCTCCCACATGGACTAATGAGGGAGGGCCAGGGGCGTCCATCCTGTGCTTGGTGCCCACTTCTAAAGGACACTCCGGGCTCACCGTGTGTCCTATAACTGTCTGCTTGATAACTAAGATATTATGAATGAACGGATGATTCTGGAATCCCGGAAACGGAATCTGTCACAGGGCTTGGAGTCATCCAGCCCCTTCCTCATGAGCCTCCCACAGGGTGTCAGTCCAGGACCTCCGACACGCCCGCGTTCTGCAGATGTGGGTCATGAAGAGGGTGGCTTCTGTCAAAGGCAGGCAAGGGGCGGGGTGTTTGCAGGGCCCGGACACGTACTCCTCTAGGCCTCTGGGTGGGAGTTGCCGTGTTTTCCTGCTTCTGAGGGAGCAAATGCCTTTCCTCCTTCTGGCCCAGCTTCCTTCCCACAGCCTCAGGTCTGCGTCTGCCCAGACACAGAAAAAAGACATTCCTCAGCTGTGGCCTTGGAGACCAGGGGGTGTTACTTATGACCTTGGAGAATTAGCAGTCCGGCTGCTCTGGGGTGTCTGTGAGAAGGGGGATGACTCCCCATCTCCAGGGTCCTCACTTTATGCCTGGTCATCTCCCCTGGGGACACTGGTCAACACATATAACCCCTTTCAGCCTCTGTTTTCTCACCTGCAATGTGGGCTGCTAGCTTCTGCCCGGTCCCTCCCAGGTCGGGGTGACATGCCTCAGGGGCCACGGGAGAGGGGCCAGGTAGTGCAGGCACACACCCTGGTGCCAGCCTGCCTAGGTTCTGAGCTTGGCTCTTCCACTTACAAAATACATGGCCTCTGGCAAGTCTTCAGCCTGTCTGGACGCCTCCTAAATTGAGGGTGATGATAGCGCTGACCTCATGAATTGTGAGAATTCCCTCTAAGCACTGAGTGTTCGCTGCGGTCATTGTCAGACTCATCCGAGGGACTGTGAATAATAAGAGAATATTCCATAAATATAAATGTCCTTAAACAGAAGAGCTGGGCAGGGTGCTGCTCCAAGGAGTGGCCACTGGGGGGCAGGAGTGACAGGACTCCCCTGTCTGACCCTGGTTGGTGGAGGTCTTGATGCCTCCATCTGCCATCAGGAAGCTTCCATGGCCTCGGCCTTCACCTCGCTGCTTTTGGGTTTTTCACAGACATTGACGAGTGTGTAACCGGCATTCACAACTGCTCCATCAACGAGACCTGCTTCAACATCCAGGGTGGATTCCGCTGCTTGTCCTTTGACTGCCCGGAGAACTACCGCCGGTCTGCAGACACGTAAGTCCCTCGGCCCCGCACCTGTCTGTCTGTGCGGCCTTCCTGGTGACACCTCCCACTAGGGGCTCAAGAAATTTGAGGAATAGCTTACCCCTGGCCCTCAGACCCCTGAACGCCAGCAGGATTGTCTCAGAAAGCCCAGGTGGTGCCTGAGACTGAGCCCAAGGTCAGCAGGCTCCACTCTGACCTGCTTGGTCTGGATCCAGCCCTGTCCCCGGTGCAGAAGCTGGGCCTCAGTTTCCTCAGCTGTAAGAAGCAGGGGTCAGAGTGCGCACTGTCTCCTTGGATGAGCAGGCAGCGATGGCTCCGTGATAGCCGTGAGCCAGGGAGCCCTCCTGACTTGTTGGGGCATCGCTATTAGGGAACCCCGCCTGGAAGGCAGATTCTGTTCTACCTGTGTGAACACAGCCCGGAAGTTTCCATGCCCTAAACTTGGGGCGGTGTGACTGTACATCATTGTAAGCTAACCCTCCCCAGGCCACTGGGGTGTCTGTGGGGTGCCCAGGAGACTTCCTCAGGGGAACCCACGGGCACAGTTCTTGCTGCAGCTCCCGCCCCTCATTTAACTCAGCGAGTCTCAGACGCTCCCTTTAGTGCTGCTGCAGTTGTTCATGCAGGAAAAGCTATGTGGTGGCTCCCATCTCGGGGGTGTGGCTTGTGACCCCACTCCCCCGTCACAAAAGGTTCCCCTGGAAGTGCTCCGAGTGAGCACACAGCTAGGTGACCACACCTCCAAGGTCTGCAGCGAGCACACAGCTAGGCATCCACACCTCCAAAGTCTCCAGCGAGCACGCACCTAGGTGACCACACCTCCAAGGTCTCCAGCGAGCACGCACCTAGGTGACCACACCTCCAGGGTCTCAAGCGAGCATGCAGCTCCGTTCACCCAGCAGTGCGTCTCTGAGACCTCATGTGCCTCTTGACCTGGGGCCTGTTGGTGGGCTCTTGTTTCGGCTCCCTCCTGCTGAAGGTCAGTGTCCACCTTTGATGGGATGCCCGGCTGACTCTGCCCTCTGGTGTCCCTGCTCAGTCAAGGGGTGGCTGCCCTGGCTCGTGGCTCTTGTCTGGCCTCAAGTGCCGAATGGCAGAGTGGGAGACGCTCAGATGTCCCCTTTTCCCCCTGCGGCCTTTGTTTCCTGTCCAGCTTTGGGGGTGCTCACCACTGGCCTGTCTGCTCCCCGGGTCCTGCTTGTTCCTCTGACGAGTGCTCTGTCTGCTTGAAAACCCAACCCCTCACTTCCTTCCGGGCCTGGCTGAGGGAAAAGCCCCTTGAGAGCCAGATCTACAGCGGGTGGCGTTCCAAATGGCCCGCAGGTTACACAGCGCCCCATGGGCAGTGATGGGGCTGCTCTGAGCCAGGTTCCGGTCCCCAGTTTGAGGCCGGGTGGACGTTTGTCGTGGGAAGCTAGCTCTCTTGCTCCCAGGCCTTTGCTGGTGTCTGGGTTTGACGTTTCTGGAAGACGGGCTGTTGTCGTGACTTGACTTCTAACTCACGCACGGCCACCAGGCCCAAAGAGGAAGAGCCACGCCGGGCCTGCACACCCTCCCAAGCCCGGGGGTGGGCGGGTCCTCCGTGGGGGCTGCAGCGTGGCTGAATCGGTGGAACCAGCTCCACCACCTCGTGTCAGCTGCTACCTTCACCGTCCTCTCTGTGCTGGGAAAGCATTTACTCGTTCGGGAAACGTTTGCTGAGGGCCTACTGTGTGCAGGCACCTGGCTAGAGATGGGCCCGCAAAGGCCCTATTCCCTGCTCGGAGCCCTCTGGGAGCGTGTGCGAAACAGCAGTTAGCAGAGCAGCGGTCTGAGCCTTTCTGGAAGTACTGAGATGAGGCAGGGCCCCACCTGGCCTGGGGGGAAGGGGAGGAGAAGAGAGGTGGGGGCTGTAGGGAGTTGGAACAGGTTGAATGAAGGTGGAAGGAACAGAGTTAGGCAGAGGGGGAGGGATGGAGGGCAGGATTGGACTGGGGTGTGGATCTGGGTTCCACAGGGGACAGAAGAGTCCCAGCGATGAAGTGTGGGAGAGGGAGCGGAGGGTGGGATTGGAGCAGGGCTGTGGACGTGGGTTAACCGAGCACTGACATTGGGCATTTAGAGGGAAACCTGGGTGCTCTATTTCCACCCAGGGAGGCAGTCCCACATGCCAGGTGTTGACTTTGTCCCCACCCTGTGGATTCATCAGCCTGCCCCATTGGGACAGGTACAGCGGAGACTCTGTCATTGTTGATAAGAACAGGCTGGAAGTTGGGCTCAGCCCCTGGTAAAGAGGAGGGGAGGGTGGCGTCCCGACCCTGTCCTTCCAGAGAAGATGGTAATCCCGGTCATTATGAGCACGTCCCCTTTACATCTGTGTCTTTGTTAACGCGAGCTCCTGTTCACCAGTGCCACCCAGCGGCCAGTGTGAGCAGAGGCTGGGGAAGGGGACGGGGAAGGAGGAGGTGCGAGGGCCCCCGTGTGGTGACAGCCGTTCTCCCAAGCAGTCCGGCTTCCTTGAGACACTGTGGCATTCTGGAAAGATCGAGGCTTTGAAGTCAGGCTCACCCGGGTTTGCATCTCAGCTCAGCTGCTTCCAGAGCACGAAACTGTAGTTCCTGAGCTTCTCGAGGCCTCCAATGTCACCTTCCCTGGGTTCCTGTAGGGTGACCATGATCGTGGGGCAGAGCCCCTCTCTACTTTTCACCGATAAAGCTCCCCCCGATTCAGCCCTGGGGGGATGTGGGGGGGGACCCCGAGGCATGCCAGCCCTGCCAGTATTTTGGGGTGAAGGGAGGGTGGGTCTTTGGCTGTGCAGGTGTCCAGGCTGGTACCAGGCCCGAGAGGCCATGTAGGGGAGAACCGGGCGTAGGATGCAGGACGGATGGATGGGCTTTCGGTCTTGGCTGTCTCATTCACTGTGGCTGTGGCCGTGGGTCTAGGTCCTGGGCCCTCAGAGTCCATTTCTACATCTGTAACGTGGCGCCAAAAACACCTGCTACGCGAAGTGGTGAGGATTAGAGGCATCTGAGTCTCCTGTAAAACCCAAACTGGACCCATTACCATGCAGTTGATTCTGACTCATGGCGACCCCATGTGTTACACAGTAGACCTGCTCCAGAGGGGTTTCAGTGGCTGTCATCTTTATGGAAACAGATCACCACCCCTTTCTTCCTAGTCCATCTTATCCTGGAAGCTCTGCTGAAACCTGTTTAGCATCATAGCACGCGCAAGTCTCCACTGACAGATGGGTGGTGGCTGCGCTTGAGGTGCACTGGCCGGGAATCGAACCTGGGTCTCCTGCATGGAAGGCGAGAATTCTACCACTGAACCACCACTGGCCCCAAAAGAAGATATAAACCCCTTTACCGTCGGGTCAGTCCCAACTCAATGGTGACCCCATGTGTTACAGAATAGGACTCCTCCATAGGGTTTTCTTGGCTGTCATCTTTATGGAAGCAGATTGCCAGGCCTTTCTTCCGTGGCACCATTGGGTGGGTTTGAACCGCCAACTTTTAGGTTAGTGGTCAAGTGCAAACCATTTGCACCACCCAGGGGCCTCGACTCTAAGGTTGCACCTCTCTAGTAGGGGAGATGGAGAAGTGCTTGGGAAGGGCTGTGTGGGGACGGGATGTCACTCCTGCACACGGAGGAATCTCTTATGACGGTTCTCTCATTTGTTGACCCCTATCAAGCAGGCAGAGACCAGCCTGAGGCCTAGCATTGGGACATAGGAAGTGGGGGTTAGGCCTGGAACCCTAAGTCGAGTAGCCGCCGGGGTTTTATCCTGGCTGCCCCGTCCCCGGCGGGGAGCTACTCCAGGACGGCAGACGCACCAGCAGCTGACAAGCCACTGACAAGGAGGAGCCTGCTTTGCCAGCCCGAGGCGTGCCGGCCGTCCCAGGGCCTGCAGTGAGACTGAAGCCTCCTCCGTATCTCTTCAGCGGGGTCGAGCCCTGACTGCTGGGCTCTTGGAAGTTGGAGCGCGGCTGGGTGGCCTTGGTTGCCACTTCCTGGGGAAGGGGGTCCCCTGCAGCTCTTAGCGCGGGGCTGTAATGTGGTTGGGCAGAGAGGGGCGAGCTGTTGATGTCCCCTCTGTTTGGGCCGGTGTCTGGGGCTGCTTTCCAGAATGACAAGGGCAGGAGAGTCGGAGCAATCCAGCAGGGATGGATAGAGGCGCTCAGGCACTCGAGGGTGGCCAGGATAGCTGTACCTCCCAGGGAAGGACTCGCCTGGAGCACCTGTTTCCTGTCGTCTGTGGTCGCTTTCTGTAACTGTGTTTTCATGGAACTCGGGGTGTTATGATCAAATGTGGGGCACATTGTTCTCCAATGCATAAGAGTCAGGGCTCATGGCGTGATGAGGGGACACGTCCGTGGAACCCAGTGTGCGTGGTCCCCAGAGCCTGGGTGGGGCGGGGGCACCCACGCCCTGTCAGTGACGGCAGCCCCTCCCCCACCCAGACAGCAGGCTAACAAAGGTGTTTGTACCACGCTCAGTCTGATGGGCAGCTTGCCGTGTGCAGGTGTTTAAACTCTGAAATGTTAAAATTTCTGGAATGTTTCAGTAAATTTGAGGTGGAACCAGGATAGAGTGAAGGAGCCCTGGTGGCACAATGGTTAAGTGCTCGCTGCTAACAGAAAGGTCGGTGATTCAAACCCACCAGTCGCTCTGAGGAAGAAAAGACCTGGCGATCTGCTCCCTAAAGATTCCAGCACAGGACATTCTATGGAGCAGTTCTCCGTCAGTCATACAGGGTCACTGTGAGTCAGAATCGACCTGATGGCACCCAACAGCTGCAGAACAGACTGACTGAGCTTACAGATGAGGTGTTGGCCCTGTGCCGGGTATCGAGAGAAAAAGCCAACAGCCCTGTCTGCGCCTCGGGGAGACAGTGGTCTAGAAGGAGCCAAGCTCAGGGACATCTGGTTAGTGTGAGGAAGGGCTTGGGGTGCTCCAATTAATGACTCTGGCGTCTGGTCCAAGAGGAAGGCGTGACCGCCGCTCTGGTGTGTGGTGGTCGCGGGAGC